AATTCTTTTTAAAAAAATCATATGACACCTGCAAAACAGGGGCAGGATTTGGATTGCCCAATCAGGTTTGCTGTTTTGTCCTTTTTTGACACCTGCCCACTCCCATGGACATCCCTATAAACGGAAGCACACGTACACACAAACAAAGGCATACTTTAATACCCAGCTCCATCATTCCATACTTTTCCTCATTAGGAGTTGTGAAATACTAACATGGGAAGATTTTTTTTTGTTTTTGTTTTTTTAAACTGGCATGAACTGAACAAACATTTTGACAAACGAACAGACATCGAGTTAATATTTCGTAAAAGACTTAATGTCCCATCCTGCCACATGTTTACCAAGAAATAAGGCTCACTTTCAGCCTGGCGCCTGTAAATTCAGCCAAAATGGGTCAGTTTTTTATTTTTTATTTATTTTCTGGTTGTATTCAGAGCAGAGCTGAAGCTGGGGGAAAAAACTTGGTGGGTTGCCTAAGGTGAATGGAGATTTTCTAGCCAAGGCCAGCCTCGGAACCAGCTTTCCTAATTTAATCTCGGCTGCCACGCTTGCCTGCTTCTGTTTTAGCGTCGAAAACATGTCCCTTTGGCAAATTCAGGGGACTGTTTCTAAAGCATCACACTGGACTTAGGACCGAGTAGGATGCAGTTAATGATTTAAAACTTCTGCTGCTAAAGATTTGTTAAAAATTAAACTCTGCAGGAAATAGGACAAAAACCCACCAAAAAAACTCCCCAAACAAATTCAGAAATATTTAATTTATGACCCGTGTTTTCTCCCAGCATATGTCTTCCCTCTCTACTTTTCCACACAACAACCCTGTGAGGTAAACTACACTGGGTGGGGCTGGAGCAAAGTGAGACCATGACAGTCCATGGCTGAGGAGGGGAGGCTCCAAGCGGAGATGGCAGCAGAATCGGACAGTGGGGAAGAACATGGGCCAGTCCGGGAGTCTGGGGAGGATTTGGACGATGGTCCTGCGTCCGATACAGAGATTGGGGCCAGGGCCATCTGGGAGTTATGTGCTGACTCCGGAGCCTCCAGAATCTGACAGCAGCGAGGCAGAGGAACAAGGGGAGCCTGTTCCCAGTGCGTGTGTGCGCAGAGCTGCCAGAAAGCAAGAGCAGTTAACACAAAAGGGGCAACTCGGGAGTAAGACTTGGAGGTGATTGCCCTTCCCATAAGATATAAAGGAAGTGCAAAGGGACAGGAACCTTTGCAGGAAGCAACGTTGTTCGCTCTGGTCGGTTTGGAACCTGAAAGTTCTGTGGTGAATTTGTGCTACGTTTGGTTTTGAAAGACGAATTGATACTTCAGTCGTTGGCAGCACTTCAAGTAAGATAAAGGTGTGTTCTTATCAGACTTCTCCCGAAGGACTTTGGCAGACTTCCATGGGACTATTACAAACTGTTTGAGACTCATTCCGGGCTCTGAATGATGATAATTCACAGCCGTTGAACTAAAATAAAAGGGTTTTGGATTTAACGTGTGTTTGTTGGTGTCTCAGGAAGCCTTGGTCAGAACAGGTGCTAGGGGAGAACTTTAATCCTGATACCACCCAAAGAGGGCAGTCCTCGACTTACGACCACAGTTAAGCCCAAAATTTTGGTTGCTAAGCAAGACAGTTAAGTGTGTTTTGCCTCCTTTTATAACCTTTCTTGCCACTGTTGTTAGGTGAATCACTGCAGTTAAGTTAGTCACCCGGTTGTTAAGTGAATCTGATTTCCCTGCTGGTTTTGCTCGTCAGAAGGTTGCAAAATGGAATCACGTGTCCCTGGGCACTGCAACTGTCATAAATATGAGTCGGTCGCCAAGCATCTGAATTTTGATCACGTGGTATACTGCAACTGTCTGGAAGTCTTGTTGGAAGAAAAAAACCCAGTCTGGTTTCAAGCCAGGAGTCAAGATGCAGGAGTCAAGATGCAGGAAAGGAGAATGAATTTGCAGGCAAGATGCAGGAAAGGAGGTCTCCATTTATTTAGGAAACAGAAGTGAAGTGACTCCGCATCAGTTGGGGGACAGCTGACAGCCTGGGTAGAGCGATTTTCATACCCTTTGTGGCTTTTGAGATTGTGATGTCTGGTGGGGTTATTTGAGTAGATTAGATTAAATGAGATGAGATGATTAGATTAGATTAGAAGAGAAGGACCAGGGAGACATGATAGCAGTGTTCCAATATTTGGGGGGCTGTAACACAGAGGAAGGGGGTCAACTTGTTTTCCAAAGCACCTGAAAATGGATGGAAAGTGATCAAGGAGAGATTCAACCTGGAAATAAGGAGACATTTTCTGGCAGAGAGAACCATCAACCCATGGAACAGGAGTTGCCTTTGGAAGTTGTGGGAGCTTCATCACTGGAGGCTTTCAAGAAGAGACTGGACTGCCATCTGTCACAAATGATGTAGGCACTGTAATGTCTCCTGCTTGGGCGGGGGGTTGGACTAGATGACCTACAAGGTCCCTCCCAACTCTGTTATTCTGTTATCTGATTCTGTATTGTAATGGTCCCTGGGTGGTGGTCAGGGGTCAAGGCTAACCTTGGAGAAAGGTGGAGAATGGAAATCCTGTGTGGCTTTGTGTTTTTTGACTTAATCCTTAATCCTGTCAATCCAGGCTCTCTCAATCTTGTAACTAGGGTTACTTGAGGCCAATCTGGCTGGCAGGCAGGGATTGCTTTAGTTTTCTATGTGTCTCAAAGGTGCCTTTTTTTCAAGAGATAGCTGGACTTTCTGGTTTTCTTTGAAGACATTTCGCTTCTCATCCAAGAAGCTTCTTCAACTTCTATGGATGGGTTTTTTTTGGCCTTCTCTGGGGGCATGAAAATAACGAGGGATGTGTGTGTGTCTTACAATACTTCCTATGATATGAAAAATGATCATCGTCTTCTCTTTCCTTCCATCTTTCTTACCAACATTACAGCCTTTTCCAGAAAGCTGAGCCTTTGGGACGAAGCGTCCAAAGTAGCATAATTCGAGCCTGCTCATTTGTACCTAGATTGAGGATTCTGGATTGATTTGTTCAATGATCCATTTCTTGGCTGTTCAATGACATTTTCATACATTTCCTGCGATCCCAAAATTAATTTCCTTGCTCTTCACCATCAACAGTCCTCAATTTACAACAATTCATTCAGGGATTGATGTTGCAACGGCAGCGAAAAAAGCGACTGTTGACCATTTTTCACTCTTACGACTGTTGCAGAATCTCCAAGGTCACATGATCCAAAATTCGGCTGCTTGACAACTGACTCACAGTTATGACGGTCGCAGTGTTCTGGAGTCATGTCCTTTTTGCAACCTTCTGACATGCAAAGTCAATGGGGAAGTTAGATTGACTTAACAACTGCGATAGAATGGAATAGAATGGATCTACTGAGAATTGAATAGAATAGAAATAGAATCGAACAGAAAATATGGAATGAAATAAAGTAGAATAGAATAGAAATAATAGAACAGAACAAAACAAAACAAAACAGAAGGATTGGAATGGAATAGAATAGAAATATGGAATGGAATAAAGAATATAATAGAAATAGAAATAATAAAATAGAACAGAATCTTTACTGAGAATAGAATAGAAATAGAACAGAACAGAGCTGGAAGGGACCTTGGAGGTCTTCTAGTCCAGCCCCCTGCTCAAGCTGGAGACCCTATACCATTTCAGATAAGTGACTGTCTATTCTCTTCTTTAAAACCTCCACTAACTTAACCACTGCAGTGATTCACTTTACAACTGTGGCAAGAACAATAATAAATAATAAAGTGAGACAAAACTCGCTTAAGAACTGTCTCGCTTATTAACAGAAATTTTGATCTCGATTGTGGTCGTAGGTCTAGGACTACTGTGACGACTTTTCCACAGTCATGTACACTCACCCACAAAATTCTCTTTATCGACCCAGCCTTCCCACCCAACCGACTACCCTCCCGCAGCTACCACTGTGATCCTTTAAAAAAAGCTCTATTCTGATTGATATTGATAATCAAGGAGAGAAGCAACCTAGAACTAAAGAGAAATTTCCTGACAGTTAGAACAATTAATCAGTGGAACGACCTCCCTACAGAAGTTGTGGATGCCTCCAACACTGGAAGTTTTAAAGAAGAGATTGGACAACCATTGGTCTCAAATGGTATAAGGTTTCCTGCCTAGCAGGGGGTTGGATTAGAAGATCTCTGAGGTCCCTTCCAACTATGTTTATTCTATTCTATTCTATTCTATTCTATTATTCTATTCTATTCTATTCTATTCCATACCTCTATTCTATTCTATTCTATTCTATTCTATTCTATTCTATTCTATTCTATTCTATTCTACTCTACTCTATTCCTATTCTATTCTATTCCATATCTCTATTCCATTCCATTCCATTCTACTCTATTCCTATTCTATTCCTATTCTATTCTATTCGATATCTCTATTCTGTTCTATTCTGTTCTGTTCTATTCCTATTCCTATCCTATTCCTATCCTATCCTATCCTATCCTATCCTATCCTATCCCATCCCATTCCATTCCATTCCACTCCACTCCACTCCACTCCATTCCATTCCATTCCATTCTATTCTATTCTACTCTATTCCTATTCTATTCTATTCTATTCTATTCTATTCTATTCTATTCTATTCTATTCCATTCCATTCCATTCCATTCTACTCTATTCCTATTCTATTCCTATTCTATTCCTATTCCTATTCTATTCTATTCTATTCTATTCGATATCTCTATTCTGTTCTATTCTGTTCTATTCCTATCCTATCCTATCCTATCCCATTCCATTCCATTCCATTCCATTCCATTCTACTCTATTCCTATTCTATTCCCATCATCCCCAGCCACTCAATCAGTCGCAAGGTTTCTACAAAGACCGACCCAGCCCGTTGAGCATCCAGCCGCTTAATCCTCCACCAAACCAAACAACAAAGTCCTCCTTCCGGTCGCCGCTCTATGATTTCTGTGAGAACTCTGTGATCGGGAAGAGCGTTCCTTCCTGAACCCGGAAGTTAACCCAACCCACGTGGCGCCGAGGTCGGTAGAAGTTGCCGTAAAACCCTAAAATCTCTGGCTTGGCGAAAAGAGCAGGTAAACGGCGAACGCATATTGAGGACTTTGCAAAATGAATAAGACAAAAATGCCAAAAAAAGCGTGCATAGGATAAGTACCTGCGTTGCCGGTCGTAGAGTCCATGCTGGCTTGGGATTCTGGGAGTTGAAGTCCATGCATCTTAAAGGGGCCGAGCCTGAAAAAGGCTGATTATAAACCACATTTTATTTTTCCTTCCCCCAAACCCTTTTGGGTGCATCTTGAAATTTTCCCCCTGCTTATGACTGAGGCCCACGCAGCCTGATGCCCTCTATATGGCTCAGACTCCAGGATGCATCATTCCCCATATGTTGGCTGGGAAGCATAGGCTTTGGCACTCCTGGCTGTGTTTGTATGCACACAAGCTTACTCTAATGTCCTCATGTCACGGGGAAACAATAACAATTTAATAGGGAAAATATTTTGGCTGAAGGGCCAGGATGGAGGAGGTTTCAGTATGAGTGCATTGGTGGTTCAGTGGTAGAATTCTCGCCTGCCACGCGGGAGGCCCGGGTTCGATTCCCGGCCAATGCATATTTTTTTTTTTAAATTCATCTTTTCCATTCAGCCTATTCCTTTTCATCTGCTGT